TCAAACAGTTTGCAGTCTACTTGAGGTTTGGACATTTTCTGTCGTTTACATCCTCGTTTTTTCAGTGATGCACATGGAGCGAGGACGATCGTAAATTGTGGTCAATTTGTTAATTCATGTGTGTCTAGCAAAATTCATGACTTCCTAAACTCTTCGTTTCAGTCATCGGTCTCTACGGAATATCGAATTTAAAAGAATGACTAAGACATGGACAATTTTTTCTTGTCTATCTACACTACACTCCTTCCATTTTACTTCTTTTCTCTTGATTTTAAAGACGTTTTGAAATGGTTGTTCTCTCTTAATTTTACACTACGCGCGGCTGTGTTCAGAACTGGTGATGAAATATTCCCCGTTTATTTTTTAACCTGTTCGGACGCTGACAAAATTACCCACTCATCGACCAATATCCAAGTTCATCAATAAATCTCAACTTGACTGAAAGCAACACTGAAAGAACATTCTTCACTTGGACCGCACATACCAATATACATAATCGCTCAAATAAGGAAGGGACCATTTGACTTGAGGTAGCTGCGCATTGCATTTGACTCTCATTTTCCTAAAACTTCCGCTATTGTACACAACCTTCAGAGATCGCGTCGCTGTTAATTTGTAGCGGCTGGGAGTCGGGAACACTGAGACCGCTGAGCGATTAGCTGCTACTGAATAACAAAACGTAAGTACCTTCGATTCGTGCATAGTTACTAACTATGATTTCCCACGAGTAGCCCAGGCCTGCCAAGAGGTTTAGTTCATCCGGGGGGGTACTCCCTTATTTGGCCTTAAAGAGTATGTCCTGCTGACCCGGGCATGGTTTTCGGGGTCTTGCATAAGGTGAACAATTTCACTATTTAGCGTCTTCAACAAGATCATCTTTTTGGCCGGAAGCCTTTAAAAGAGGGCCTAATGTTAGCGATGAACCGTCCACCTGCGCGATACCAACATTATCATTATTATTATTTTTAAATCCAATCATGTCCATGATACTAGTTTTAAAAAAACTTTATTCGATATGAGAAAAGAAATGAAAGTAGGGTAGCGAAGAGACGATTTTTATCTTAAATAGGGGCAGGGTTTGAAAGCTTCAGCGGCACACTTCTACCCTAACTTCCGTTAAGTATCCCCCCCTCCCGGAGTTGATCAAATATCACTAAATTTCCGGAAGGCATCGAACGTTTTAGCACTATCTTTTCAGTTTTCTGCTGCTTGAAATGATTAATATCACATGTACAAAGCTTGGGTCAGGATCTCTGGAGATTCCTGAATTCAGCTATCAAATACCGTCTTGAGTCTCCTTTGTCTGTGATAAACAAATTCTTCTTTGTTCGCAGGGAAGTGCATTTCTCATGATCACGATAGAAAAACACGGGCAACATCACTCACCATAAAGTTCAAAATTAATTAGTAGCAGAATCCTAGATATACAAAACTTTTTATTGGCTTCATTATCTATTATTGATAAACTAAAAGGCAGTGCACGAGTTTTAATTGCTACGATGAGGATGTGTGGAAGAACAATTTCCACACTTTGACGTACTCAGGGCTTAACCATACTCTGATGTATTTGTCCAAGTTTATTTGATATCCCAATGAAATGCAAAATTTTTCTATGTTTGAGTTATTTAGGAAAATGTTAAACGAGCAGACGACAATAATTACACAGGATCTCCTCTCAATTCTTGGCTTACAACCACGTGAAAAAGACGGCCATGTTGGGGGTCAATAAAATAGAATTTTTTTCTCGAAGAATTTACATGAAAATAGAATTTAGTTCCCAGAGGAGAGAAATGCTTTTTTTCTTGACCACCAACATGGCCGCCGTGACGTCACGTGCAAATAATCAATTATTTGCTATCCCACAATGGAGCTGTGCTGATTATAACATTCCCGTGTGGAGTTCAACAGAGCATGGTAGCAGCCGTGTCTCGCGGTTTCGTTCCTTTTAGATGTGAAATCATCAATATAGCATAGCAGGAACTTTCCACCATTACAAAAAAAGGCAGGAAAAAAAGCAACTTTTAGAAAGGCCTCTGCTTCAAGTCGCGCACCCCAAGACTGCTTTGTCTCTAGAATTTCTGGCACTTTAACAATATGTCTACTCTTGCATTAAACTTGGCGTAATTCGACTGAAGCTTGATCAAGTGTACTTCTACCATGTATCAAGAAAAGCGCTTGTCAAAGTGAGAGCAAAGAGCTAAAGCTTAGAATACTTTAATATAATCAATGATAGTTTTTCGGGTCAAAACTTTTCGCAACTGTATGTCACAATTCTAAACAGGAAGTTTTTAAATAATGATAATATTAATATCATCATTTCTAGGATTGTAGAAAATTCTACATTTGAGACGAAAACAACATGAACGTGAGCAACATTTCTATAATTTTGAGTCTCTAGTTACAGCCAGTGCATACCACATATTCAGTTTTAGTATAAACACACTCAGTGATCTTGGTGATTTAAACAATCTGATTGGTTCGCTATCTCGGACTATTCAACAATATTCACCTCCTAACGAGTGGATAATGTGTGAGCTCGGTGTTTTTCCCAATCTTTTAGAGAACGATCTATTAAAAGTTGACAAAATCCTAGGGCTGACTTTTTTTTTAAGGCAAGAAAAGGCTTCGAAGGATTCAAAACGGCGTTTTTCCATCCAATCTCGGTGAATATTGGCTTTAGGAATATTTACCTCGCCGCTTCGCGACTCGGAAAATTATAGCCACTTTTCACGTTGATTTCAAAGAATAATTGTTAGTTATACCAAACTGCCCCAAATCTGACAGCCAACAAAACTCGCTGGACAAAACTCTTCTGGATTGATGTTCTGCTACATTAGAAATTACAGAAATTAAGTGTTGGGATCATCTTTAATTCCGCCAATTTGAATGTTTTGCTTTCAATGGAAAATAACGTGTATTTAAAAGTTGCAAAAAAAGGTGCAAGAATGCAAGTGTCCAGAAATTCACTTGGGGCGCCACAATTCTCTTCTCTGACATAAATTAATTTCTTGGGTGGAAATCTTGTTTTTTATCCTTATTTATATCACTACTTCATGTTAATTTGTCATTAATTTAAAAAAAGAGGATTAAAACAATTCCACATTCAGACAAAAAAAAAAAATTCGTTATACTACAAATTCATAGCAAAGGTAAGCGGTTTCATCTGTGATCATGAAACACCGTACTAGAAGGCATTAAGGAGTTTAAACATTAACGTGGCGACGGCTACAAAAACGTTACTTATAAAAGGTGGAATTGGCTGCCTAAAACTTTATTGCGCTTATTCCATCTTGTTTAATTCGTTGGCAAACTTTCTTGGAGTTGAATTCTAAAGGACTGTATCAAAGTTCAGGAAAAGAACAAGAAAGTTGTTGTCTTGTGTTCCCGTCCTCGACAAAACGCGAAATTAGGGACTTTCACGTTTTAGGACTCGTGCAACGACGGCAAAGAAATTTACAAAAAAGAGTGATGCACGTGCAAAGTTATTGTTTTGTTTTAAAAACCTATCGCTTTTTTGCCGTTCCCGTTGCCGACGCCGTCGTCGATGCTGATGGAGGAGGGACAGGGGGGCGGGAGCCCGAGAGAATTGGAGGCGGGAGGGGTTACGGGAGGCGGGAGAAGAAATAGATGAGAAATGGAAGGGAATTGCGCAACAATGCTTAATATTTAGCAATCAAGAAAGGTCTAAAAGGAGGACGCCAAAAAGAAAGGGATCGGGTAAGGGATGCTGGAGGGGGAAGGTTTGGACCACCCTCCCCCCCACAATCGATAACTTGATAACAATGATAACTTGCTTGACAGTACCTCATTGTGTGTCCCGTTTTCTTTATTCTCTATAAAAAGAATAGTACCTAAAGCTCAACTTAACACCCACTTTTTCCTCTGAATATTTTCTATAGGCCTCGGGTAAAAAATGGAATACAGTTTGGAGCAATTGAACTATTTTAGAGCCTCGTACATCGCCTTCAACTTAATTCCTGAAGGGCTTCGAACAGTCTTCAAACAAGAGTGGGATTTCCTTTACAAGGCAACAGCGTTTGGAGAATGGAAGGACACCCCTAAAAATGGCCTCGATTTCTACAACAACGAATCACGAATTAACCACAAAAGATATGGGCGACTTTTAGCGATAATACAAAGTGGAAACACGGCAGAGTGGGACTGCACTTGTCTATTTTTCGCAATATTATACTCGGATACTATTGGCAAAACACTGAGTCCGGGAATAATGAAAGAAGTTGACGATCTTCGGGAAGTTCGAAACGCAATCGCTCACAAAAACGACGCTGAACTTATTGATGCTGAATTCCAAAATTATGTTGCAAGAGTGTTAGCTGCTTTCACATCATTGAAACTTCCAATTAATGAAGTTGATGATATAAAAAAACCAGACCGACTTTCCCACAGCCGAACTCAATGCTCTGAAACTACAGGCAGATAGCCTACGAGATGACTTACAAACGAAAGAGCAAGAAGCCAAAAATCTGACCTCAGAATTACAGACGAAGAAGGAAGAAGTTGAGACCCTAACTCAGGAAATCAGTTCCAAAGTTCAGTCTTTTGTTGACCTTACATTCAAGCCATCACATCCGATCATCAGACGATCAAACGATGTCACAAGAATCATGAAAAAACTGGACGAACTACAAAATGAAAGCAAAGGAGCCATCAGCACCGTTTATTTATCAGGGATTCCGGGCTGTGGCAAAAGTCAAATCGCTCGTCAACTGGGACAAGAAGTCTATGAGAAGAAGTTGCGTGAAAGCAAAGACCTGACATTTGTGGCAACTCTTAATGCAGAAAGCCTTGATTCACTTGCAGACTCCTATTCTAGACTGGCCAAAAGGTGGGAATCACAGAATACACTTTGACCAGCCTGGAGAATTCTACAAAGGGAAACCCAAAGGAACAAGTCCAGTGCCTTAAGCGATTAATTTGTCCAAAGGCGAAAAAAATTCCCTAACTGGCTGATAATTGTAGATAATGTTGCTGACCTTTCCATGGTACGTAAGGATCTGCCTCCTACCGGAAGTGAAGAATGGGGTCATGGCCAGGTGCTGATAACTACTCAGGATAGCAGTTCGATACCGTCCAATGCTCCTCTAACTTACCATGAGTCTCTCAGCAGAGGAATGCATCCCGATGACGCACTAAACCTGTTACAACAGGTATCTCAGATTCAGAATCAAGAACAGGCTGAAAAGGTCGCTGAGGTTCTTGAGTATCAGCCACTCGCTCTAGCAGCCGCTGCCTTTTATGTGCAAACCGTTAGGGACAATGGTTCTCCAAACTACAGTTGGACAAACTACTTGGAAAGACTTTCCCAAGGGGGACGCGAAGCAGCAGAAAACGTTCTTGCAAACGAGAACACAGCGTATTCCAAGACAACAACTTCTGCCGTTAGAATGGCAATTACCAGTGCTTTAGAAAGTGATGCAGTTCTTCGGCAGGTATTTTGCTTGTTTTCGCTTTGCGCACCTGAGTCTCTTCCAATGGAAATTGCTGTTGACTTTGTTAAGTTGCGTGGTACCCTGAAAATAGACGAACTGATTAGAGCAAAATGTTTTAAATCCTCTTTATTTTCCTGCTTGTGTGACGAAGAAGGCACAGGTACTTTTATAAGGATGCATAACATTGTTCATGAAGTGCTTAAGTCAATTATGACATTTGAAATGGATAGACTTCAGTGTTTTTCTGTTGCTATTGAGAGTTTTCATTCCTACATGGAAACCAACAAAAATTTAATGCGTTCAAGTAGGCGTGTGTTTGCTAAGTTGCGCATGACAGCGAATCATTGTAACGTATTACATGAGATTCTAAGTAGTTGTTTCGCTCGGAGTAATTCGGAAATAATTCTAAGAGCAATTACCCCAGCTAAGTTAATTTCGTGGCTGTCCTTAGCTGCTGATGTTTGCTGTGATCTTAGTAATCCATCACAGGCATATACCTTCAGTTCACCAGGATGTAATTTTGTAAATTTTCTAAATGATTCACCAAAAGACCAGTTATTAACAGCTTGCACCTACAGTACACAGGGGAATGTTTACAGAAACCTCGGCCAGTACAGAAAAGCTAAAGAATACCATGAGAAGGCCCTTACCATCAGAAACAATATTTACGATGAACACCATGGTGAAGTCGCAGCAAGTCTTAACAACCTGGGAACTGTTCACCGGATCCTTGGCCAGTACATTCAAGCTAAAGAGTACTATGAAAAGGCTCTCAAGATAAGAAAAGAGATTTTCGGGGAGAACCATGGTGACGTAGCAGCAAGCTACAACAATCTGGGATGTGTTTGCGACCAGCTTGATCAGTACAGCCAAGCTACAAAATATTATGAGAAGGCTCTCGCCATAAGAAAAGAGATGTATGGAGAAACACATGTTGACGTGGCAGCAAGTTACTTCAATCTAGGTAGTGTTCATACAGACCTTGGCCAGTACAGTCAAGCTAAAGATTACCATGACAAGGCTCTAAGCATCAGACAAGAGATTTGCGGTAAGCTCCATGCTGACGTAGCAGCGAGCTACAATAGCCTGGGAATTGTTTACAGTGACCTTTGCCAGTACCATGAAGCTAAAGAGTACTACGAGATGGCTCTGATCATTAGAAAAGAGATTTATGGTGAGCACCATAGTGATGTAGCAGAAAGCTACAACAACCTTGCAACTCTTAACAGTGTACTTGGCCAAACCTGGCAAGCTAAAAAATACCATGAGAAGGCCTTAACTTTACACAAAAAGATTTACGGTGAACACCATGGTTACGTTGCGGCGGGCTACTACAACCTTGGAATTGTTTACAGTGATCTTTGCCAGTACGGTGACGCTAAAGAATACTATGAGAAGTCTCTGACGATTAAAAAAGAGATTTACGGCGAATATCATGGTGACGTGGCAGCAAACTACAACAGCCTGGGAAATGCGAACCTTCGTCTTTGCCAGTACAGAGAAGCCAAAATCTGCTTTGAGAGGGCTCTGGTCATTACAAGAAAGATTTACGGCGGGCGGAACGGGCCGGAAGTGGCAAGAATCTACGATAACCTGGGAAGTGTTTACAGAAATATTTGCCAATACAGTGAGGCTAAAGAATACCATGAAAAGTCTCTTATCATAAGAAAAGAGATTTACGGTGAACACCATGGTGATGTAGCAGCAAGCTACAACAATCTTGGAATTGTTTGCAGTGACCTTGGCCAGTATAGTCAAGCTAACGATTACCATGAGAAGGCTCTAACCATTGGAAAAAAGATTTGCGGTGAACACCATGGAGACGTAGCAATAAGCTACAACAATCTGGGAAATGTTTACAAAGAACTTGGCCAGTACAGTCTAGCTAAAGAAAACTACGAGAAGGCCCTATCCATCAGAAGAGAGATCTACGGTGAACACCATGGTCACGTAGCGCAAAGCCACAACAACCTGGGGGATGTATACATTGCGCTCAGTGAGTACGACCAAGCTAAAGAACATCTTGAAAAGGGTCTGGCCACGAGAAAAAAGATTTACGGTGAACACCATGGTGACGTAGCAAAAAGCTACTACAACCTTGGAAGGTTATACAGTGACCTTGGAAAGTGCAGTGAAGCCAAAGAACACTTTGAGAAAACTCTAACTTTGTGTAGAGAAATTTACGGTGAACACCACGGCGAAGTAGCCACAATCTACAGCAGCCTGGGAGATGTTTACATTAAGCTTAGCCAGTTCAATGAAGCGAAACAACATCTAGAGATAAGTCTCAAAATAAGAAAAGAGATTTATGGTGAACATCAAAAAAATCATAAAAAAGTGGCATCAAGCTACTTCAGCCTAGGAAGGGTTTACAGTAAGCTTGGTCAGTACAGTCAAGCTAAAGAATACTATGAGAAGGCTTTGACCATTAAAAAAGAGATTTTCGGTGAACACCATGAAGACGTAGCACAAATCAAAAACAACCTGGGAAATGCTTACATAGAACTTGGCCAGTACACTCTGGCTAAAGAGCATCTTGAGAAAGCTCTCACAATTAGAAAAGAGATTTTTGGTGAACACCATGATTACGTGGCACAAATCAAAAACAACCTGGGAAATTTTTTGACAAAAACTTGGCCAGTACACTCTGGCTAAAGAGCATCTTGAAAAAGGGGTCTCACAATTAGAAAAGAGATTTACGGTGAACACCATGATGACGTAGCAGAAAGCTACTTGAACCTGGGAAATGTTTACAGTGGCCTTGGCCAATACAGTGACGCTAAGGAGCTCTATGAAAAGGCTCTAGCTATTGTAGAAACGAGTTTCGGTGAACACCATGGTCTGAGCTTGGCAGTATGCTACAATAACCTGGGGAACGTTTACAAAAACTTTGGCCAGTACAGTCAAGCTAAAGATCACTATGAGAGGGCTCTAGCCATTGATAGAAAGATTCATGGTGAATACCATGGTAACGTACAATCAAGCTACAGAAACCTGGGAAATATTTGCAGTAACCTTGGCCAGTATAGTCAAGCTAAAGAACACCATGAGAAGGCTCTAACCATCGGGAAAAAGATTTATGGTGAAAACCACGGTTTCGTTGCAGCAAGTTACAACAATCTGGGGAAAGCTTGCAGTGACCTTGGCCAGTACAATCAATCTAGAGAATACCTTGAGAAGGCTCTGTCCATTAACAAAGAGATCTACGGCGAATACCATGGTGACGTGACACTTAGTTACAATAACCTAGGGGTGGTTTATAGCCACCTTAGGCAGTATAGTAAAGCAAAGGAGAACCACGAGAAGGCTCTAACTATTACAAAAGAGATTTACGGTGAGAAGCACAATTTTGTTGCCCAAAGTTATTCAAATCTCGGCTGCACTTACAGTGACCTAAACCAGTATCATCTAGCTAACGACTGTTTCCAAAAGGCTTTGAACATATATAAAACAGTTTACGGTGAACAACATGCTGAAGTGGAAAGAACGTATCAGAACTTAAGAATCGTTAAAATGCGACAAGTAGAAGAAGTTCTCAGACCATACAACATCTGTTGCCAGGAGCATTATTATTATAATTTGAACCTCAGCTGGCAATTTTATCCGACGATCTAAAGATTATATCTGTCATTTATCTCATAGAAACTCATCTGAATTACGTTTAGTGTTCAGGTAATTCAGTGAAAGGGGCCATGTCATGCTATTTTCCATATTTTTTATAAAGCTAAAACGTGTCTTTCCGTTAATTGTATTCCGAAAATAATGGCCCAGATTTGTTTTTTAAGACTTAAATTAGGCATGGAAACCGTTTCCTGTCGTCTATAGATGGTTTTCACAGTGACGTCATCAAATTGTAAAGTCAAAATAGCGAGGTTTTACGAATTCTCATTTACACTAGGTTAAAGATAAACAAAAAATCTCTGAACAAGTTTCCATTCCCGTAGCATGTTTCATTTGGAAAATACAGCAATTTGAACTTCCAAGTTTTCACTGTGCGTGACACCAAAATAGGAATGCTGTCTCGTTGAAAAAAAGTCTCTCCTCTTGATTTTCAGCAGCATAACCATTTCAACTATTAGAAGATTTATGTTTATGCGCACGTATGCTAGTTCTCGAGTGAAAAGAAAGAGCTTTTATACAAAAAGTGAACTCCAGATGTTTTTGTTGATTTCCGGCGGCCATATTGGTGCACCAAAACGAATAAATATCAAACCAGAAATTTCTCTCTTCAAACTGTAAATTATAAATGATCCTGAGAGAATATTCAGTGTGTTAAGGATTTCCCTGCTGTACTGTTAGCTCCATACAAGAGAGGAAGGGCGATTCTTTTTTAATTTCCGTTTCGCTGACACAGATTCAGCAGAAATCTCTCTTTAGTCGTTTTCGTCGACAAAACAAATAGCAATATCGCTCTCCGCGTCTTCTGCCATTTTTTTCTGCGTCAATTCGTGAAGGACGCGTGGCTCTGAGCGTGGGTCATCCACCCGGAACACATTCGCGCTATGTGATTGGCCGTTGTCTAACCCCCCTTGGGATCTATGGCCTTAAAA